TGAACCTATCTGTAAAGGAAAACGTAAACTTTCAGGTGATGTTTCAGGAGAGCATATATCACTGTAGTTTAAAAAAAGATGAATGTGATTTTGAACCAGTAGTGACAAAGTAATCAAAGGCCAAAGGAAATGAAACTTTCATCATCACCTTCAGCACCAGGGTGACTTCACTCTCTGTCTATTAGACAATTAGACCTGACAACCTTGTCCTGCATGTCTGCACCAGCACGGTGCTAATCAGCAGTGTCTGTGCAAACCACAGTATAGATTTCAGTCTAAGGCTGCTGAAGACTTCCATGGCTCACATGTGGCAAAGAACACCTCTGCCAGGCCTGTCAGTTCCTGTTCCAGACCACTGCTGCCTAAATGGAACCTGATTGGCTATTTGGACAAGGAAGTGTGCAAAAGGTTGACTTTTGAGAGGTTGAATCACTTTTACTCTACTGTTTCACACTGTAAAGGGAAACATTGAGAGTGAGGATGGAATCTATGTAAGCTACAAGAAATCCAATACGTCTTTTTTTCCATGTTTAATCAGTACCATAAAATGTGAATATTATTGTTTTTTACCTTGATCGATTATATTTACAAGTTGTTACAATAAAAGGTCCAGTGAGATTAGGTTCAATTTTGACAAGAAATTATGAAAGTCCATATTACAAGTTTGGTGACACTGAATGCAAAAAATGAAAAGCCATTACAAGGTATTTCCAGTTTTAGTTTAGTTTAGTAATTTCTTTTAAAAAAAACCCTGAGTGAACGGCAGTTGAAACATCCATCTATCCAACAGCTTATACTCAAGGTTGGGGGGGAGTGACACGGATATGGAAAGGGAATAAATAAATGTTACATTGGTTGTTCAGAAACTGATAGGAGTTTGTTTCAAACTTGTACATTTATCCTGTACAGTGTGTTCAGATTACAGACGTGGGATTGTTTGAGGAACTTCATTAGTTATGTTGAAGGTAGGTCAGTTAGATGTATTGTAGTAACAGAAAATCAGCTGTGGGCTATTAACAATTGGCCACACAATGTGCCATGTTTAAACACATTCCCATGGTACATACATGCAGTACAAGTAAGCAGTTCTGCAAACACAGGTACATGCTAGCCGGGTTCAAACTAATCAGTGAGCATATTCATTAGATTTGTGTATTTACAGTGGGTTAAAAGAAAACTCTGCCCCATGATAATTGGCCACTTACAGTATTACTTTTTAATGAAGTATCCATCCAAATGGGTTCTTCAGGCTACTGTTTATTTAATTCTTTAAATGTAATGAAACTCAGATGCCCCAGTGTTTACTCCCGGACGAGGAGTCCAATTTAATTCAACAGAGCTTGAGCTAAAGTAAACACTGGGTGTTTCTGAAGAAGTCAATGACGGATCTGCCAATGGCTGACTATCAAAAGTGTTACATCATCCTATCCTATCCTATCCTATGGTCTGTTCCAAAGAGCTGGATGCTTTACATTTCTATGACAGTCAGATTTTTTCTATGCTGCATGTTGTGTATTTGTACAAAAATTCTTGTTTTTCACACACTATAAAAACCCCATGTGTTTAAAGTCTCTGCAGAGCACACACATGAGGTGTCAGTGGGAATGTGAAATACATTTAGCATTGTGCTATAAAAAAGATGTTAGAGGTTGTGATTTGTTGCTCTGCTCTCAGTAAATACATTCAAAGGACTTGACTGACTGCCTGTCATGACCGCCGATCGGGTTACGTCAAGGGGCGTATGAAGATCGTAATCATCCGGTGATTTGTCAGAGTACACAGGACAGCTTCTATGCACAGGAAATGCATGCATCCCGCATGAAACTGAAGGGTCAAAACGTCCAGGACAGCTAAGGATAAGTGGTTCATTCTATAAGTAGAGAAATGGGGGAAAGTGAACAAGTATTGTTTGGTCTGCAATCTGTCTTGGAGATAGACAATGCCCCTTTGATTGTAGTCTCCGTGGCCCCAAGATTCAAGTTCAATGCCAAGGAATCAATAGTCTATGGCACGGGGGCCCCAGTAGTCAGAGGTCAAACGAGTAGGATGGGGGGTGTTAATGTGTAGAGGGTAAATGGGAAGTAGATGTGATTCAACAGAGGGATTGTCTGTTGGGAAAACGGCAGGGCAGCAGATCACTGTGAATTTTATCTGACCTCTGACCTCATGCATAAGATATACTTGTAACCGTATTCATTCATAACAGGGGTAGAATTAGCAGCAGGAACCAAGAGCTAATGTGATCATTCGCACATATTATTAAACATGATCAAATTTCCCTGTTTTGTTTGACTTCACAGTTTATTTTTAAAAAGAAAACAGTGGCTGTTTTAAGCACTGTATCAGAGTATTTCAATTTTAAATTAATGCGTTATTTGATAAAAAATGTAATTATTTACAGTTATTTAATTACAAATCAGCTAATGTAATTGATTATTTTTAACTGCTTCCCACTGCTCATATATTTATTGTATTCTATACATGTGTTTTTTGTACATGTAGATGATGAGATAATAACATTAAATCAAAGAAAAGCAAATGTTAAGGAAGGAAGTAGGAATCATAGCTTGTTCTGGTTATGATTATATTCCTCTGTCATGCATAACTGTGGTCCTTACACTAAAGGCTGTGCGACGCAGCTTTATATTGACTCACTCTTGTCTGTCTGGAGAATGTATTGTCTGAGTATTTGTTCAGACAGCGGCCTAATTCTGTCTATGTCTGCGACTGTGATACTGTCTGAAGGATTAATATTGACTGGATTAATATCTGTCATGTTGCCCAGGAGTCTGTATAATTGTTTAATTTCCAACACTTAAATAATTAAATTCTACTCCTGTGCTAGGTAACATACACGGTGCGATGTTATGTTTTCCTATAAAACCAAACCTGACAGGTGAGGGATCTAATTGCTGCTGCACTCTGAAATTCCAAAAGAAAAAATATGGAAAACGTGCTTACATGCATAACATGACTTTAATTACAGTGTCTGGGAAATAGTGTCTCTATTGAGTTACATGCAGCGTGAATGCAATAAACTAGGCAAAAAGGAAATTAGCTTATTTTTTAAAACATGGTGTGTGATGTGCAACAGGAAGAATTTGTGGCAGGAAGCTGTCAGTGGATTTAATGTACAGTGCGCTGTGTGCAAATACGTCTTAAACTTTATTTTCCTTCTGTAATGTGGACTCAAATAAAGCTGCCGCCACAGCCGAGGCCACAGCACATCCTCACACAACCACCTGGTTAGTTTACGTTGTGTCAGAATATATGTAAGAGCTCAGGCACACAGGTGTCATCAGAGGCTAATTCAGTTGACGCCTTACATATAAACCTCCACACATGTCAGCATTTAGATGTACCTTAACGAATGATTAATACGTGAATGGCAGATATTTGACCAACCAGGAACTGTGTTAAGATTCACACACTAACTAGAACGTCAGTGATCGCACTAGTGGATCCAGAAATGGCATACATTGGCATTAGTTTTGACTCGACGCCATTTTGCCATCAACTTCCTTTTTGTCTGAAGTGAAGCATGGCTTTTCTATTGTCTGGTCAGCAGATACATAGACAATAAGAAAAACCCTGTTAACCACAGCTGTTAACTTTGTGGTAACGGTAGAAGAATGTTTCATTGCGCTGACATGAGAGAAAGAGAGAGAGAGAGAGAAAGAGAAAGAGGAAACGTCAAACACATGAAAGATGCAAAGGCTGTAATTACCGTCTGAGAGCTGTGGTGAGTAATACATATGAAGTGTTATACTGTGTATCGGCGGTAAAATATATTTCATCCCATGTGTTAACTGGTGCTGTAACTGCACTTCACTACAGCTCTGGGGTTCACAGCTCTGGGGTAACATTAGGAAATACAGTGCACTGATTTTGACTTAATTTTTTTCATGGATGTCTCAAACACAAAAAATTAATATATTTATATGACATGTACTTGTGACTCGCATTATTTTATTTTTTTATGTTGCAGTTAGTATTTTACCTGAAATACTTGCATAAGCATCGGGAATGATGTAATTAACCAATTAAATTAATGGCCTGTCCCTTTTTTTCTTAATGCACAACAACAAAATTTTGCTCTATTATATGTTATTTTAAAAAGGTAATGTCTGTTACATTTCCAAATAAATACCAATATATGAGACTTTAATGATTAATTTTATGTAATTTGGGTCATATCACTTGGTTATGAGGCTTATGAGAAGCTTATTATAAAGAAGCAGTGCAGCTTGATGAAATACTGAGGTAATATATATATATTCATAATATTAACTTGTAACTTAAAGAAACAGTACATTTATTTTATGAAATCAAACTGATTTTTTTTTTGAAGACATCTAAAGCAAGGACACCTGGTCGATGATTAACAGTATCTACCTCAGACGTCACAATTTACGAGATATGTCTCATTTTTAATCTAATCTTTTTCATAATTGAGACTTTATTGTTTTGAGCAGGGTTGTAACAGTACATTATCAGCACTCCACTCCTCTCTGTTGATCCGCACACCATGGCTACTGCAGCAAACTTACTGCAAAGTGTCCAGTCATGGTCTCAAAGGCAGGGCCAGGGGAGATGGACCAATGGGTGGAGAGTGTTTTAAGACCTGATGTGTGACTTCCCTTCGTGGTTCAGCCCAGACACACTGTACACAGCTCCTGATTACAGGTCATTCAGTTGGCATTCCTCTCCAACAGGAATGTGTCTCGTAAAAAAAAAAAACATCGCTGATTGCTTAAGGTAATCAAAGGATGTCTTGGTTTACTGTGGCAATAATCCTGTAAAATCGTCCCAGTTCTTTGATGTTGAGAGTTTAGGTCACACATAAAAGTTGCCTGCAACATTGAAAATGCAAGATTTTTCCTGCATCCTTGTGCATTATTAAAAGTTTATTTTACATTGTTGTGGCACAAAAAGTTCAGCTTGTGCACTCAAGACTGATTCACCTTCTTGATGTCCTCCATCATCATGTGTCATGACAGAGAAACTATCATGTGGATTTGGGGACCGGATGGATTACAGCCAAGCAGCTGAGCCCAAGCTAAATCCATGGATCAAAGGAGCACCTTGGGAGATAAACAGACCTGACTACAGGCATACTGAGAAACATCTGACACCTGACTGATGATAATGGAGGTCATCCACCTGCCAGGACTGGCTGTAAGTTTTTTCTTTTTACCTCCAGTATTTCATTCAGGTTAATTGTGAATGAGAAGGTGCTGTGTCAGCAGTAATTATGTGAGTTAATTGTTATTCGATTTTGCAATACCAAGTGGTGAACTGACGTGCTTTAGTTTGATAAAAGTAGCAATAGATTCTATGGCAAAAATAATTCAGTTTTAGATATTGGGAAAAAAAAATCTTTTTTTGGAGTGGTATTGAGAATTATTATGTAATTTAATCCAATCTAATCTAGTTCCACCAAAACCCAGCTCAACTCAGTCCAATCTAGTCTAATCTAATCTAATCTAAAAATAGAAAGAGATGCTTGGTAGATGACCTACTTTACTTACACCAAATAATCTGTCAAGTGCACAGGTGCAGGTAGCTGTTTGCATATGTTTGATCCGTACGTCGTTGGAGCATTTGCACACCTTGTGTGTCTGTGTGGACAGATAACAATGAAGGTCACTTTTGACTTAAGATCCATTAGGTTTTTGAGTTGTCAGTGTTGCACCTGTTTTTACATTGTCCCAGTGGCTCAGGGGGATCAGCAGTGATCATAAGCTTCAATAATCAAACACGGTTACCAGTTTCACTTAATCTTTTTATGTAGTCAAAGGATTATAAATTGGCGGCTGCCTCAGCTCTCCAGGCCGACGCTCACTGTCATTAGCAGTGTACAGTGGTTACCAGGGGCTGCCACTCTGCTGACACCAGAGTGGAGCTCTGCTGCTGATTAAATCATGGAGGTCTCAAAGCTTCACTAGACCCTGATCTAAACTCCAGTCTGTCATGGAATGATGTTCATCTGTGTCTTTTTATCCGTGGTTTACAACCTCTTCTTCTTTTTGACCCATGAAATGTAACCACTGACACAGTTATGTTCCTCTTGCACATTTCTCTTTTCCCCAAAGAGACATAAAAGCTCTTCTGCCTGAAAGATGAGCTCTTTTTTTTCCATCTGAAGATAAACCCTCATCCTACATTTACAGGGTATTTTTCTTCCAAAGTTGGAGTGAATTATAAAGGCTTTACTATACTTATCAATGCCAGACACAACTTTCAGTGCAGTAATGTTTGGTTTGAAGGCGTTGTGCAAAAACTAACAAAAATTTGCTTTTAATGATATTTGCTGGTTTCAGTGGTTTGTATTACATTCAAGTGATACTTAACTGTGAGGTACTGCAGTGATGGGAAAACTCTAATTCGCAGTTGTGGCAAATTGCATTGGTTCTTTGATACCGCTGTGTGGTAGAGATTAAACATTTTGTGTTGATAAGAGTGTAGGACAATCCGTAGTTGTTTTCTTTTCAAATTAACGCTCTGGAATAGCTCCATGCCCCCGATTTGGGACTGAATGACTTTTGTTTTTACTTCATGTAAAACAATTTATAGGATTGGATAAAAGTAGCATGTCGTAGCACACGGGTCGTAATGCTCTGTTTATTTTATGTGAAACATAAATGCTAAGGTGCGTGTGAAGAATTAGTTGTTTAATAAAATGTTCAAGGTCAGTACAGAACAAACACACAGTAAGTTTTACAGCAGCTGCCCTCTGAGACCGGTACAAAGGCGGGAAGGATTCACTAAATGGTTCACCCAGTGTAACTTGTATTTCCACTCTGACACACAGATCATGTCTTTCTCTTTTCCCATGCTCATCCAAAAACACTATTCTGTGTTCACAGCTGTCCCGACACACGCCGTATTTACATTCTAACTGCTGCGCTCCTATTCTCTCTAATTTGTAATATTGACACATCTCATTTGTTCACCGAGTCAACAGATTATGAAAATCCTACTTCTCATCTGGGTTTAGCAGTTGTGCGTTGACATGTGGCACTCTGTCTGGCTGTCATGCAAATGTTGTTTTGACACAGGAGGGGAACTTCAGCCCAGATGACAGAAGTCCGCTCTAGTTTATAGTTTCAGAAACAACTTTTTTTTTTTCCTTATCACCAGCACATTGATAAAACTGTGAAACCTCAGTGATGCTCACGGTCGCCAGTTTCTGCCTTCACGTTTAAAGGGATGAGTTTGTTGATTGACGATGGCAAGTTTATTGCCGTCGTCGTATCATCTGCCAGGTCATTTGCATTTATAGTCATTAGTTGACATAATTAGGTGCTAAGATCTGACTATTTATTATACAATATACCGTACATAAATAGAATTATCTCATTAATTTGCCACTTTGTTTTTTTTATGATCTCTGAAGTGAGACAAACATCTATTCCCATAGTAAACCTGTGGGTCACAGACCGGGGTGAAGGGTTTTTTCACTCATGTTTTGATCCATTCTCTAATCTTTAGTTAAATGTGTGTCATACAAAGTTTGTATTAATAGTCTATACTTTAAAAGCAACTTTGTATCCACAGATTTCTCATACATATCGATGGAGCCATTCAAAGGGCATGCTGGCAGCCAGAGGTTGACGGAATATTAGCTGATAGTGACAATCACTTGACCTTTGCCCCATAACTAACCCCTGTCCTCCCTTGGACTGTGTTCAGGGAAAACTTGACTCTGTTATCCATGAAGTGCAACTGCAGATGATGCATTGATGAAAAAACAGGACTTGTTGCTACGATAAATACTTTGCCGTATCCCTGCAGCAGCCTGCAGACACCCTTCTGTGAAGGTCTACGGCTGCCAACACAGCAACTTGGGTTGTAAATCTAATCAAGTGAGAGGAAAGAGGAGCAGATCAACGAGCTGGCTGCTAAAAACTTCACAATATTAAGGTGGAGGTTTAGATTTTTGCTGTAAATACAGCATCACATTTAAGTCTAAATTAGTTTTTAAAAATATGTTTAAAATGTGCGATATAGTGTCCTTTTGAATTTGGCTCATGTATTTAGGTCGGATGGACAGAGTAGCTAAAATGTTTCTGGCCTAAGATGTAGGTCAGCTGTTGTGGCTGCACCTGTCGACTTGTGTCTGTTATTGAGTAGTCAGCTACTGTACAGTTTAGGCAATAATACATGCATACACATAACTTTAACCAAGATAAGCTTGAAGTACACATTGCAGGGTAGTACAGTACAGTACACCTAATACTTTTCCACTATCTTGGCCACTGTTGATGGAAGCTTCTGGCAACATAGATGTTTTGCTTCAAGTGAATCATTAGGGAATAAAACAAAATTAAATAAAATCAATGATAAAATGAAATAAAATTAAAAAAAATAAAAATGACAAAAACAACCACATCAAATTAAATTAAATGAAGAACAAGTTTTCATACATAAAAATTCAATGTACAGATTTAAAAAACTTCAGTTAAGTAAAACTAAAAAATTACAACTCATGCTTTTCTTTGGCCACAATCCCATCTCTTAGGATGTGGCATCAATTCAGTCATTTGTTCATATCTAAGAAATTGATTGTGGATCAGTGAAAACATGTTCTTTTCATCTCAAAAATAAAGGTTGTATGTTTAGTTCCACACTCAACTGCAGTGGCTTTATAACCTTTCCCAAAGTATTGTGGTTCAATGCACTAGAAATCTGTACCATCAACATAAAAACATATAGGTAGAAATACAGGCAAAGAATTTTTTTTAATCATTTGAGACCTGGTGTCATGCACTTTTTAAACGAGAAATAATTTAAACAAGTACGAGGTGATGCAGGTTCACACAATCTGACAACATGAAGGAGGAAAGAGAAAGATATCTGGGTGTTGCTGTTGGTGACCTGAGACAGGGGCCTGTCTGTTCTCCTGTATTTCAAAGAGACAGTTTTCAGGACACTTATTGCACTTACATTTGTCTACTGTTGGTATTTAAATTCAAAAGGTGGAAAAACTAGACAGGGAGTGTTTGTCGGAGTGGGGCCCAGGGGGATGTTGCTGAAGGTTTCGCAAATCTTGATGCAGTGAGGAGGAGGAGTGGGAGGAGTAGGAGGAGGAGGCAGCCATTTTTACCAGAATCTACACCTGTGTTTAAACAATGAGGAGGAAGCGATTTTCCAATCAAAGGGACATTTGTCTTCAGATAAGCTTGTGTGTAAACCACTGGAAAAACAGTCTCCACAGTCTGAACACAGTTCTGTACACAGTGCTTCCATTAAATGGCCAAAACAGCTGTGCACCGGTCATCAAGCTTTTTAGAATGTAAACTTACATTTGATTATTTCTACTTTCTTTGGCAAATACTTGTTTGTAAATAGAAACCGACTGAGACACTCGGTGAGCACTGAGGCAAATTAAAGGGTAAAATTATTAATTTGGTTTTATGTATCAAAAAACAAGCAAAAGAAAATTGTACATTGTTATTTATATCGGGCAACTTGAAGTCACCCGAGGAAAGAGGGTTTTTGCTCCACCTCTATAAAACCCTTTTTGGATTTTACTGGGTTTTTTTTTTTTCTTTTTTCAATCTTCGCAGACCAGCATAAAATCTCATGGAGACATAGGCTGAAATAACTGCCAATTTTACACATACATTGCAATTGATATGGCATGAATTAAAAAGCAACTGTATATCTTCAACTTCAGCCTTAACTTTTATAATTAGGAGCCCATTACTGGTATTTTAGAGTCCTCAATCTGAGTAATAAATTGAGTATAATGGCTAATTTTAGCTGAAATACAACCCCTGACGTTAACTTACAAGTCTTGTGGGACCCTTTACTCAAACGATGTCTGGCAGTGCCACAGTTGAAATGGCCTTTTAAAAAACATCTCTCCAAAGCTGCACATTTTCAAGATGCAGCTCTGTGAAATAAAGTGAAGTTTCCTGTGTCTAACACCCGTGTTGAACTGCATCGTAAACCACTCTTTCTGATATACCCATTCAGTGGGATTTTATTTATTATCACAAAACAACTCCTGAATGTGCAGATATGCCTCTCAGGGAGTGTGTGTATAAGCCCTCAGTCAGTGCATAAGCCGTGACGTGATCATGATTAATGTTAATCAAGTTGGATTTACTGTGTGTTTATTTTATTGCACAGTTGGCAAAGTCTAACTCGGCCCAATCTAGAAGGGCTCC